TTTTGGTTTTTCTCCGGTACCGGGAACCGAACTCACGACCTTGTGCTTGCCAGGCAGGCGCTTTTGCCGCTGAGCTAAATCCCCAGCCCCTTGCCATGCTGTTTTGTTCGGTTCTTTCCCTACTTCCCAGCCTGACCCAGTAGCCGGACCAGTGTCTGAGGAGCGCCACCAGGGGGCGGGTGTGACCAGCCTTGCGGTGGTCTGCGGATTCTCCTGCTGCGGGTTCATTCCTTCGTGTTTTACACACCTCTGCAATGGGCAGCCTGGTGCACTGCCCAGGCCCCACCTTAGGATGTGGTTCTGCTGTCCCAGCAGCTGATTATTGGCTGGGGACGGCTTCCAGCTGAGCCCCGTCCCTACTTATCTGTGGGGGATATATTCCAAGACCCCCAGCGGAGCCTGTAACCATGGTTAATGCTGAACCATATATATATAAGGAGATATGAATATATATGATGTTTTTCCTAAACATATGTACTTATGATGAAGTTGAATTTATAAATAGGCACAGAAAAAATAAGAACAGAATAATTATTCCACAATCAAAGTTATGTGAATGTGGTCTCTTGTCCTGGAAATAGCTCATCTTCTTTCTTCCCTTCCTTCCTTCTTTCTTTTTTTTTTTTGTCTTTTTGAGACAGTGTCTCTTTGCAGTTCAGGCTGGCCTTGAGCTCACTTTGTAGCCCATGCTGGCCTTGAACTCTCAGTGATCCTCCTGCCTCAGCCTCCCGAGTGCTGGGATTACAGGTGTGCACCACCATGCCCAGCACTTCCTTCCTTCCTTCATTCTTTCCCTTCTTCTCCTTCTCCTTCCTCTTCTCTTTCTCTCCTCCCCTCCCCTTCCCCCCTCCCTCTCTCTCTTTCTCTCTTTCTTTTTTTTTCCAGTACTGAGGATTGGTAGGCAAGTGCTCTACCAGGGAGCTACATCTCCAGCCCCTTAGCATTCTTGTGATGATGTGAGATGATAAATGCCTACGTGATGAGAAGTGAGGCACTTTGATGGATGCATTATTAGGCTACTATTGGTCTGAGGACATGTTAGCAGTAGCAGCATTCTTCTTTTTTTTTTTTTTCTTTTTTGTTTGTTTGTTTTGAGACAGGGTCTTGCTATGCAGTTCAGGCTGGCCTTGAACTCACTGTGTAGCCCAGGTTGGCCTTGAACTCGCA